CTACTTCCGTAGTGATACTGCCTCAGAAACCCAAGGAGGGGTCGCTATGAGTCGGGGCCGACTCGACGGCACATAACAACAACAACAACAATAAGGAAGACCAGTAAATACTACGATTATTCAAATTTACACACCACCCACCAAAGCAAGGATGAGGAAATTGAAGATTTTTACCAAATTATGCAGTCTGCAATTGACCAAATATGCAATCAAGACATTTGATTATTACTAGTGACTGGCATGCAAAAGTTGGAAATAAAGAAGAATCAGCAGTAGTTGGAAAATATGGCCTTGGTAATAGAAATGACGTTGGAGATCACATGACGTTGGAATTTTGCAAGACCAATGACTTATTCATTGCAAATACCTTTCTTCAACAACATAAATGGTGGCTGTACACATGGACTTCACCAGATGGAATACAGAAGAATCAGATTAACTACACCTATGGAAAGAGGCAATGGAGAAGTTCAAAATCTACAGTCAAAACAAGGCCAGGAGCTGACTGAGGAACAGACCATCAACTGCTCATATGCAAGTTCAAGATGAAGCTGAAGGCAATTAAAACAAGTCTACAAGACCCAAGTAAAAGGTCATTAAAAGGATAGGAGAGGAAGAAAATGGGTGTCAGAAGAGACTCTGAAACTTGTTGTTGAATGGAGAGTAGCTAAAGCAAATGCAAGAAATGACAAAATGAAAGAGCTGAACAGGACATTTCAAAGATCAGCTCAAGAAGAAAAAGTCAATTATTATAATGAAATGTGAAAAAAACCTGGACTTAGAAAAATAAAAGTGAAGAACACACTCAGCATTTCTCAAGCTGAAAGAACTGAAGAAAAAAATCATGTCTTGAGTTGTAATATTAAAAGATTTTATGGGCAAAATGTTTAATGATGCAGGAAACATCAAAAGAATATGGAAGGAATACAAAGAGTCACTGTACCAAAAAGAATTGGCCAATGTTGATCAGTTTCAGGAGGTGGCATATGAACATGAACCAATGGTACTGAAGGAAGAAGTCAAAGTTACACTGAAGGAACTGGCAAAAAACAGATGAGATGTTTCAACAAACAGATGCTGCACTAGAGGAACTTACTAGTCTATGCCAAGAAATCTGGAGGACAGCTATTTGTCCAACTCACTGGAAGGGATACATATTTGTACTCATTGCAAAGAAATGTGATCCTACAGAATGTGGAAATTATTGAACAATATCATTAATATCACATGCAAGTAAAATTTTTGCTGAAGATAATGTAAAAATGGTTGTGCCAATACACTGACAGGGAACTTCCAGAAATGCAAGCTGGATTCAGAAGAAAATGTGGAACAATGGATATCATCACTGATGTCAGATGGATCTTGGCTGAAAGCAAAGAATACCAGAAAGATATTTACTTGTGTTTTACTGACTATATGAAAGCATTAGACTGTGTGGATCATAACGAATTATGGATAACATTGAGAAGAATGGGAATTCCAGAACCTGTACATAGACCAGGAGGCTATCATTCAAAGAGAACAAGGGGATACTGCATGGTTTAAAATCAGGAAGGGAGTGTGTCAGGGTTGTATCCTTTCACCATACTTATTCAAACTGAGAAGTTGGACTATCTGAAGAAGAACATGGCATCAGGAATTGGAGGAAGACTCATTAACAACCTGTGATATGCAGATGACACAACCTTGCTTGCTGAAAATGAAGATGACTTGACACACTTACTAATGAAGATTAAAGGCTACAGTCTGTAGTATGGATTACACTTGAACATAAAGAAAACCAAAATCCTCACAACTGGACCAATAAGCAGCATAATGATAAATGGAGAGACGATTGAAGTTGTCAAAGATTTCATATTACTTGGTTCCACAATCAATACAACGGAAGTAGCTGTCAGGAAATCAGATGACATATTGCCCTGGACACACCTGCTATAAAAGACCTTTTTAAAGTGATGAAGAGTGAAGAACTTTCTTTGAAGACTAAGGTGCGCTCTGGTAGCATGCCTAAGGCATTTGACTACTAACCAGAAAGCTGGTGGTTCAAACCCACCAGCCACTCCTCAGAAGGAAGGTTGGGCAATCTACTTCCCTAGTGATACTGCCTTGGAAACCCAAAGAGGGCTCCCTATGAGTCGGGACCTACTCGAGGCACCTAACAACAAGGGGCACCTAACTCAAGCCATGGTGTTTTCAATCTCCTCATACGCATGTGAAAGAAAGCTAGACAATGAATAAGGGAGACTGAATAAGAGTTGATGGTTTTTTGAGTTGTGGTGCTGGTGAAGAACACTGAAAGTACCATGGACTGCCAGAAGAACAGATCCTTCCTGGAGGAAGTGCAGCCAGAGTGCTCCTTGGAAGTGAGAATGGCCAGACTTCATCTCACCTATTTTGGTCATGTTAGAAGGGACAATTCCCTGGAGGATATCATGCTTGGCAAAGTGGAGGGTTAGCAAAAAAGAGGAAGGCCCTCAAGGAGATGAATTGTCTTAGTGTCTGCAACGATGCGCTCAGGTATAGCAAGGATTGTGAGGCTGGTGCAGGACCCAGCAGTGTTTCTTTTTTTGTACACGGGGTCTCTATGAGTCTAAGCCCACTGGATGGCACTTAACAACTACACCAACAACACATTTCATGAGTCATATTTGAAGCAGTACCTAAAGGAGCTCTGATGGCATAGTGCCGAGGGCATAGGACCGCTAACCAGAAGGGTGGTGGTTCAAACCCACTAGCCACCCCTCAGAAGGAAGATGAGGCAATCTACTTCCCTAGAGATACAGCCTCAGAAACCTAAGGAGGGGTCACTATGAGTCAGATGCAACTCCACTGCAGTGAGTTTGGTTTTTTTCTTTTTTTTTTTTTTTACCTAGCCAGCAGGTAATCATGCCACAGAACCAATCCTGTATCCTTTTTGATCTTCAAGTATGTACTTATCCCTATCTTGGTCCTTTTCTCACTTCTACAGTCCCACGTACGACAGTGATCAATCAATCTGACACCAATGATAAATTTTTTATTATTTCCTTTTTCAATACTGTATAATTGGTCCCACAGCCATGATTCAGTGGACTCCATTCAGTTTTTTGGACTGTGTACATATTGATGGTTTCCCTCATCCTAGATGGGTGTCGTTGTTTTGGACTTGTTTTATCTTTCTCCTGTTTAAGGCTTAATAAAAAGATCTCTACTGAATGCGGGGTCTCATTTCCCCTAGCACAGAGCTAAAAAGGGCTGCCCGGGTGAGCATGTTTGCCCCCTTACAATACAAAATGCTTCTTAGGAAAGAAAAGAATGGAATATTTTAAAGCTTCCTGCATTCTCACTACCATGGAGTTCACCACCGACCTTTTGGTTAGCAGCCGAATCCTTTAAGTACTCCGTCACCAGAGTAGCTATAATTTACTTTGAAATCTGGAGGGATATTTCAAGAATGGAGAAACCGAGCTGTAGACATCAGAAAAGCGCACTAATCCCACCGCTGTGGTCCACAGCGTCTGGAAGGGCGAGGAAGGACGCATGCGTCGTGTACACCGCTGGACCTGTAGGGAGCCCACTGCGCAGGCGCCTGCCTCAGCGGATGACGTTTTCTCTCTGCCCTTCCTCTGGCTCGAGGCCGCGGCGCAACTGGCTTCAGGTCGTCCGTTCCTTTCCCGGCGTCTGCACCAGCGGGTTTCGTGAGACATTATCGCCCTGTGCCCGTTGAAACAGCCGAAGACTGCGCAGCTTCCTGCGTACCGGTAAGGGACCCCGGACTCGCAGCCCTCAGGTCCCCTTCTGGAGTGGGGCCTAGCGAGAGGGCCGTGGGAAGAGCCGGAACTGAGGAGGAGGGGGCGGGGGAGGCCGTTGGGGCTCGGCAGCCGAGGGCGTGCAGGACTCAGAGATGGGGGGGCGGGGAAGAGAGAGGTGGAGGTAGCGGGTAAAAGGGGCCTTACCGTCTGCCTTGAAGCTCCCGCTGTGGTGCTAGTCGGGCCCTTGGGGTTGATTCCAGGCCCCACTGCATGAGCGTCCAGCAGGCCATGTTTTGTTTAATGCGTGGTTCCCTTATGTTTTTGTTCTTTTTAACCCTTACGGGCCGGGCCTTGTGCTTGGTTTTGTTTAAAAAACTTTTGGAAGATCCTGGTTTCCCTGTATTTCATGTCCTTTTAGAACTAAAAGTAAGGTTTTACGCAAAAGCAAAACAAAAAAACCCTCTGTACCGTCGAGTAGATTCCAACTCAAAGCAACCGCTCCTTGGATTTCTGAAGCTGTATCTCTAAGAAAGTAGATCGCCCAATCTTTACTTCCGAGGAGTGGCTAGTGGGTTTGAACTCCAGCCTTCTGCTTAGCAGTCAGCCTTAGGCACTACGCCACCAGAGCTACCTGCCATTCTGATAGGGGTGAGGTATCTCATTTTATTTTTCATTTGCATCTCTAATGTGTAAAGATATCAGCAACTTTTCTTGGGGTGAATATTTGAATATCCTCTTTGGTGAAATGTCTGTTCCGAGTCCTAAGTACATTATTTGATTGTATTGTCTTTTTGTTCAGTTGTAGAAATTTTAAAATATATTTTGGATATTAGACCATTATGGAATACGTGGTTCCTGAAATTTTTCTCCCGTTTAGGTTATCTTTACACTTGTTTTGATTAAGTCTTTTGAACAAAAATAATTTTTATGAGGTCCCATTAATTTTTGCCTTTTGCTGCTTTCTTTTGTTGTTGGATTATATAACTTTTAAATTCCTCTCAATCTTAAAATTCTACGACCTTTACTGCAATGTTATTGTATTACCTACCTGAAGAGGTTATTTTTGGTATAGGTATTAGTATTAATTAATTTTTCCTGTTTTATTTAAAGTATTCCTTAGTTTTCCTGTGTTATTTTTTGTACTGCCACCTTAAAATTTTGAAATTAATATTCCAAATTTTGCTACTGAATATTAATGAATTTCATATAAAATTTTGGCATTTTTGCTTAATTTTAACCACAAACTGTTGTTTGGCTTCAAGTGCTTAAAAGTTTAAAACAGAAAGTATAAGGATAGAATTGAAGGGAGAAAGAATTATCAGTATTATTTACCACAAAGAGACATGAAGCTTAAAAGGCTGAGAAATAAATGTACTGGTGGTACATTTAATATCCCTATTTGTCAGCTGTCCGGAGCAGCTTTTCCCTTTAGTAGTAATTGTTTTTGTTTTTTCATGAGAATCATTTTTATTTAAAATAATATTGGAAAATTTCCAAACAGAGAAAGAGCTAAATAAATTGTAGGATGCCAAATGGATAAACAACTATAAAATTATTAGAAATAATAGGAAATAAATTACAGAAAAATGTTGAGGGAAAAATTAAAATATGAAAAGACATCTTTAAAAATGTATAATCAAATGGAAAGTAGTGTAATTGTTTTAAAAGTGAAATATGTTTTTGTTTTATTCTAAGACAAGCCTATCTGTTTCTCTTCAGAGAACCCTAAGAAAGTGTAGACCTTGTTAGTATTTGAACATTTAATCACAAGACTGATAGAATTTTATAATTTATTGGAGAAACATTTCTAGACTCTAATAAGTGGTTTACTTGTTTTAATGTTCTTGTGATAGACTATAATTCTAATCCAAAACATAATTTTGAGTACTCCCTTGAAATTTGTTCTGAATAATTGGTATAAATATCCAATAATGATGTTTAGTGTACTTTTTTGTTGAAGTTTGTTGTTGTTGTTGTGTGCCGTCGAGTCGGCCCCGACTCATAGCAACCCTTCCTTGGGTTTCCGAGGCAGTATCACTACGGAAGTAGATTGCCCCATCTTCCTTCTGAGGAGTGGCTGGTAGGTTTGAACCACCAGCCTTCTGGTTAGCAGTCAAGTGCCTTAGGCACTATGCTACCAGAGCCCCTTCTTTTTCTTAGACATAGGAAAATTTATCTTTGTTTTTGTTTTCAAATAAAGACAATAATTATAAAGTCACATCACCTGAAAATATGAGGATTGTATTGGGTCAAAGTGAAGTCCATAATGAAGATGGACGAAGTAGAGATGTTTGTCAGTTTCCATTTCCATTCCATGGAATTCACAGGAAAAGAGAGTGTCACTTTTCCCACTTAATAAGAAACACAATTCCTAGTGATTCATATTATTGCATTTTCATCTAAAGAGTGATTGCATACATTTGCTCAGTATCATAAAATCCCTAAAGCTAAGCCTTTCTCTATGCTCTAAAAGCCCTAAGAATTAAAGTTAAAACTTCCTATTGTTTGTCTTTAATCAAAAGGAAACAAAACAAGAATATTAAGGAGCCACCTTGAGGGATTGAGTCACTGGGACTATGTTCCTTGGGGCATCAAGCTCAACTGGTACAATACAGTACATAAAATATTGTTCTGCATTCTACTTTGGTGAGTAGTGACTAGGGTCTTAAAAACTATTGTTCTCCTCTTCTCTGGAGTAAAAAAGAGTGAAGAAAATCAAAGTCATATGGAAACAATTACTCTAAGGGGCTAATAGACCATGGGAACCTCAGTCTTCACCACCCTGAGACTGGAAGAACTAGGTGGTGCCTAGCTACCAATGCCAACCACTTGGAAAGGAATCAAAATTTGAGGTCCTTGGTAAAGTGGGAGGAAAAATGTGGAATAAAATTCAAAAACAAAAGTGACCAGAATTACTGGTCAGATAGAGACTGGTGAAACCCCCAAGTCTATGGCCCTGAGTTATTCTTCGGGCCTGGAACTGGACTCACTTCCATGGATTAACTTTAAGCCAACAATAGAAGGACTTACAAGCAGAACACCTACCCTGCAGAGATGTGCCCCTTAGTTCAGTCAACCTTGAGAGATCAGAACGGCAGCATTTGTATGGGGCGGGGGACTGGAAAGACAGGTGCATACATAAGAAGAACACAGGGAAGGTGTCACAGGGAGGAGATGGGAGGAGAGCTGTTTATCATTGGGATTGTAATCAGTGCTGTGAAACAAAATGTATACGAACTGTTGAGAGTAAAAGGAATCTGCTTTTAAAATTTCCACCTAGATCACAATAAAAGAAAAAAAAGAAAAGGGGTACTAAAGAATCCTGGTAACACAGTAGTTAAAACACTCGGCTGCTAACCAAAAAGTGGTTTGAACCCACCAGCTGCTCGGCAGGAGAAAGATGTGGCAGTCTGCTTCTAAAGAGATTGCAGCCTTTGAAACCCTATAGAGCAGTTAGTTCTGCTATGTCCTGTAGGGTCGCTATGAGTTGGATTTGACTCAACAGCAAAGGGTAAAGCAGTAGTAATAAAAACCACTCTTCTGTCCCCAGTTTTTATTCCTTTCCCACATACTATTATTTTGTCTGTTGATTGAAAACTTTTAGTACCATTCGGGATGTATAGAGGGAATATCAGTTCATTTACTACGTTTTCTGTTAGAGGTCATTTTTATTCCGGCCTACTTTAGTAAAATGACAAGTATAAATAATGAAAGTGCTTTCTGCTCTTCTCATTGTCTGCGTGTCTAAAGTTGATATGTGACCATGGAGAAGACAAAGTTACAGACTAATGTGTATAAAAGCTATGGGAAGTGCTCTTGGGAAAATTACATAGTAGTTGGCTTTTGAGTGTGTGAAAGCTTTTATCTTTACAAGATTAATACTTAAAATGAAAGGATTATTATAGTTAGAAGGATTGATGTACCATACTAAGGTGGGGAAAACACTGTTTTAGCAGTCTGGGTCTATTTAAGGTATGGCCAATTGGGATTTTTTGGCATCCTGGTTATGGATTATAGGGAAAAGAAGCACCTGGAAAACATGGAGTAGCCATTTATTAAAATGGAGAAAAACAGGTTATGATGTGTGTCTCAGAGGGAATCAGAAGCTTACTTTTAGACGTGGAAGTTTGAACAGACGTGCCTGACATCTGGGTGAATATATATGATAGACATTTAGTTTTGAGAGTCAGGATTTTCTAATTTTATAGGCAAGGGTAAATTGCTGAAAGTAAGAAATGGTAGAATTCTGACTTGACTCCAAATATACCACACAGCACTCATCCATGTATCTCTCAGTACCTGAAGGTACCGTCCCTAAAGCCATAAGAAAAATTATCACTGATAAATTTTATAATGGAGAACTCTACACTGAGTTAGTGAATTAAACAATTTTTCAATTTGGGATGAAGTATTAAGTGAAATGTTACTTTTTGTCATAGGAGGTTCAGTACTATTAGTTATGGCTTTGACTGCAAAGTAAGTTAGATCACTTTCATATATTCATGATAGGGCTGACTTACAGGCTCATCCCCCTATAAATAATTAAAAATAGAACCGTAAAGTATAAGGATTTCCAGCAAAGTTCAGAATTTTTAATCGTGATCATTGAAGTCTTTACACAGCTTTTGAGTATTTTTGTGTATTATAGGTGTCTTTAACGTGTTCTTCAGTTACGCATTAGGTAATCCAGTAGTGACTACCACTCTACTCAGGTTTCTAGGAGGTCCAGAGTGAGTGAGTAGGAACTATTTTGTTTGCTCAGACAACAGAATGGGCTTAGTTATAGTGATGTAGCAAATTTTTTGGCTTTATTTTGTTTTCTAATAAACTATTTTATTCTCATTGCTCTATTTAGGTAACTTAAAATACAGAGAAGCTTTCATAAAACATCTGCAGATCATTCCTGTACAAGCCTAATTGCATCAGACAGATGGCGACTGGTCCAGTTATTGCACCAGGGCCTGTGCTCCCTCTTACCCGTGAGACCAAGAGGATCGTTGCTCTGCCTTCCGTTGACAGACATCGGCTTGCCCTGGCAATGCTATACTCTCCAGAAATGAGGCGTAAACGAACTGTTAGAACCCTGTGCATGACTGTCTTAGCTGCTATTTTCCCAACCTTTAAAGGTCCTATCATCAAGGTCACACCTGTCATTACTGGGCAAGCAGTCACTTGGCAACTGCAGATATATGGAACCCCTCTGTTGTCAATTCCTGAAGTTCCTGATGATACACAACATAGACTTGGTTTGTACCATGCAACGCTGAATATTCTCATTGCATTGTTCAAG